TCCGCTTCTGAAAGCAGATTTTTTTTTTAAGGTTGTACAAAGGATGGCCAAGCTAACTGCTGGCTTTAGCTTCAAAGATAAAGAAATGTTATGCACTGATATTTTTATTATCCAATTCATGCCAAAAAACTAAGCAGTTAACCTCACAAATGATCTGCTGCTATTTTCTGACTACAAGTGTAATATTTATTTGAAGAGTAAGATTCAAATGCTCCATGGTGTATGTAGTATTCCAGATCTCATTTGTTTTCTCTTTTGACGTTGCAGCCAGATCTAAAATTGATGAAGTAATGTGATTTAAGCACAATTAGCGCTTAGGGTAAATGGTAAAAAGTCTACCATGATAAAGTGATTTAGCATATTTTTATCTGGGTATGAATGACAATAGTATGTTAAACTACAAAAAGGTCTTTCTTTCTGGAGTTCAAAACGAGCATGCAGAAACACATTTGTGACGACTGAATCCAAAATATTTCCGAGATATCAATTTGAAACAAACAGACCATTTTATTACAAATTACCTAATGCAGATGCTCTTTAATATCCTTAATGGTGTAATCTACTTCCACCGCTCGCCTTCTTACATCCCAGCGACCCACAGCTGTTTATATAAAGGGACACGAAAGGCTAAGTGAACTGCTCTAATATGAAACTATTAAAGTCATTGAGCTAACAAAATAGATTCAAGTTGTACACGTTATCATGTGATGATCATCATATTTTTGGTGATTGATGTCAGCAGAGCAGACATCTGTGTGTAAGTGTTTGCATGCAAAAATATGAATTGTATGCCAAATGCATTTTGGCATTTTAATTTATTTGTCTGCAAATCCCCCCCCCCCAAAAACAAAACAAAAACAACAACAAAAAAAACAACAACAACAAACAAACAAAAAAAATGAAGTTAGGAATTAGTGCATGCTTCAGTAATTATCTAATGGAGGCTTTTTCTATCATTAAGAGGATATAAACTGCTGTAAATGGAGACAAATATGATGTGCCGCTTTTCTATGAATATCAAAATTCTGTCTGCCATCAGTTGAATTTAATTTAAATACTGATTTTGTAGTACAATGTTTAAAAAAACAACAACAAGGAAAGTTATCAGCATATACTCACACATTGGCAGGTGAAATATCCCTCCTAGTTCATGGGAAGTTGAATCACTGGTATGTAAAGCAATCTGCTTGATTTATTTGTGCATAGTTTGGATTAATCTCTGTATTTTATAGTTTGTTGACTTTCAATTATACAAAAGTACGTCCTTGGTTGTTTCTTTTAAAGCATGCTCTAATGTTTTTTAGAAGCCATGTACAGATCAATAAACTTAGTTTCTCTTCATATAAATAAATTCTTTAAAATACAGACATTAGATTTTTGTAAAGTTGGTGTTTTTTAAAGTAGATTGTCTCTCTTCTTCACTCTCTTTGCAATAAGAGGGAAGTCAAGCTAATATAAAAGTAACTTTAGTAATATCAGTAATAAAATACAATGTTATTCTACCGCTCCCCACACTCACTGATATTGTTTCTTTGAGAATTTGAAAAAGGTTGTTCCAAAGTTTTAAGCAAGACGATGCCTCATATAATACTAAAGTATCAGAATCAGAATTCTGAAATTGGATTCTGCTTCTGATATTTCAATCCCAATGCTATTTGATAGCTATCAGAAAACATTCAAAGAGCTAAGGTTTTGGCAAAAAATTTTAAAGCACTTTTTAAAATTTTAGTTGAAGAACCAATGGATTTGGGACTTTTCTGTGTAGTTACTGTATCCCGGTAAATGTAAGATTCCCATATTTAAGAGGGACTTTGATAGGTTCACAGAATTGTTGTGATTACATGAATGATGTAAGCTGTGGTGTCAACAATGATGTAAAGTTGAAGTGGACCTAAAGTCGAACCTTGGGGTACACCACACTTTCAGCAATGCCTATCAGTCGTACCAGTCGTGGGATGTAGTTCTCAAGCCTGCAACAAGATAGAATCATATTATTTTAAGATTTTCTTAAGCGGTACAATGTATAAATAATACATATCTAGCTAATTCTCATATTACCAAGTAGTAGTGAACAAATCACAACTGATCCATGATCTGTTCAGATCAACCCTTCACATGCCATGCCTCTGGCCGCATGTGATCTGGTTGATCTAACTGCTTATATTATCATTATATTCATAATTCAAGAATTGTATGTGTAGACTAAAGCCTAAGAAGAAAAATAGAGAATGTGATACATTATTAAGACAATACATTTTTTTGGTCTGACTCGGACCAAAATGTTGTTAAACATCAAACTATTATTTCTATTATGTGGAAATTTAAAGCCGCATATCTGCACGTTATCGTCTTCTTTTGTTTTTGTAATGTGCGCTCGCCTTTTGGAATTATGTATCCCTTGAGTGTTACTGTAGCTGCTGTAGAGTGCTGCAGATGCTGGGGCAGATCTGTTTTTTATACTCTTAAAGTAGTACCTCTAGTACTAAGTAAAACCTCTCTGTGTACCTTTTATTATTTTCTAACTAAGTATATTCAGTAAGACAAACCCATAAACATCAGTAGTACTGAAATGTTACTAGAAAGACGTCAATGAGCATTACAGTACTCGAGTACTCAAGAACTCATACCCACCCCTACTTTTGAGACCGGTGCAGTTGTTCTAACAAAGATCAGTAAACAGTGTGTTTGAAATTGATGTTTCTCTTGTAAGATTGTAAGGTTTGTGATTATTATGATCTTTCAATGACGATGTGAGTAAGGAAAAGGAATAGTTCAGGCAAAAAGTACCTGCATAAGTTTTAAGAAACCTTTGTATTCAATGTGTTTAAAGAGAAACACACTGACTGTTTGGACAAAATTCAAAGTGTTCACCAATATATGTTGTCAACTGTTGACAGAGGAGTATCAATTGACCTATTAGGTGCTTTGTTACTTATACATGAACATACCCAGTATGGCAGCAAGAGCATGTTCAGCTATATATTACATGCATTACAAAGTCTACGCATCTTGCCTTCTTTAAACCTTCCTGCCGTTTAAAGTGAGTGCAAGGAAAATGACAGAAAAGCAGGAGATTTAAATGCCAGCACAAAGGAGCACTGACCCCACTTCTGCTTAAGGTTAACCAGCCTGTGGAAAAATACCATAGAAAACCCTCAATTTTCTTCATAAATGTATCATTGATGTGTTTCTGCTATAGGGTCTGATAAAAAAAAAAAATCTTCACAATGAATTGCAGTCAAGGTGCCAGTGCATAAAAAAATGAATCCCAAGAGTCATTGCAGTCATACATCCTTTACTAATGCTCACTGTGTAAACCTTTATAAATGGCACAAGAAAAGGTTAAACTTCATTGTTGTTCATTGTATCCCTGCAGGAAATTGCAAGTCGAACCATTTCCCGAGGAAGCTGCTCGAAACAACTCTGGGTTGAAATATGAATATTACTTCATGGTTAACCAGAGGACGCTCTCAGAGATGTGAACGGCTTTAGTTTTGCTGTCAGCCTGGGGTGTTTTTGATTTGTTGCTCAATGATAGAGACCAGGACATTCATGGTCCAATCAATATTCATCCATTAATAACACGGAAATATTGGACTACATGATGACCTATGGCATCTAATATCTGTTTTGTTTTTTAAATACAATATGTCAGACATGGAATTCCCCCCTGGGTTACAGTCAGAGTATTTAATTCAGCATCATATTCATGTATTAAAATTTCCAGTTGCCGGCTTTATAGGAACAAGCGTCTACAAAATGTAAAAATAGCCAGATGAGGAAAGGTCTGTTACGAAAAAGGCACCTATTTGATTTTTTCCATGAACAAACTCAGGGCTGCCATTAAATAGTGGCTGTTTCCATAATTATAACTATTGAGTGAGCAACCATTATGCTGCTGTGTCACATGCAAGCACTCAATATGCACATCTCGGTGTCTTTCATTTCCTGTTACTAGACTCTAATATCACAGTGAGCTCTGAGAGATGAAACTTTCAAAGAGAGATGATAAATATATCTTAGGAGGAAAAAAAAGGGCTAGTGATGATCTTGTTTGTGGAATTAATATAATTTATATAACAATGAGGATATGTTGAAATTTTTCATTAAAATGTCATTTTAAAAAGTGTATTTGTCCCTATTACTAAAACTAAATATAGTAAGTAAACAAAGGAAACTAAAAAATGGTTTTATAAGGGTTAAGGGCTTAGATTGTCATTTCAACAACTAAAATGGAAAATATCTGCATGCCTTTCTGTCCCCTTAGCAAACATACAATTTGGCTCTTCCCACAATAAAGGGAAAAAGGGATTTTAAAAGGATTATGTATAAAAATAAAAGGATTTCTTCAGTGTACATTTTTTTTTCTAAAAAGTTAGTAATAATAAAGAAAAATATTATAAAATAGACTTTGGGTAATATGATCAAAGATGGCTTATAGTTTCTGACTGAGGTACAATAGCATCAAAGGTATCTGTCTGTGTGTGATCATGTGTGTATGAAAACGAGAGCAGCCAATGTCCTGAGCTGTTTGGTTCATTGTACCATCATCGTTCTTTATTCTATAAAAATAATTATTTTACTCCTCCTGAAGCCAGATTAAATATATTGTTGCTTTTAGTTTATCGGACAAAAACACACGTGACTCACGTACGCTCAGAAAGTGGGCGTGGTGCAGCTGTGGATTTGTTAAAGGAGATCAGTAAGTCAGTGGGAACAGTAACCGAACAAATCATGTTTATTTATACCTCGGTCTAATCCGAAACCTTTGACCCCAGCTCACCTCTAACGCTGCTAAAATGCATCGCCTTTGACAGATCAGCTCACTTTATCTGCTCAACATGCTGTGCTGACTGTGAACAGCTTAGAGAGTGCCAGTCTGATGCAGCCAACATGTGTTTATTTGTGGTCTGTGTGTATTTCTGATGTGTTTAAGTATGTATGTGTGTGCCAGGCATAGGTGAAAGTGGTTATCTTTAACCCTTGTGTTTCTCCTCCAGGGATAAATGGCCAGACTGTGGAAATGGATGATGGGAAGTGGGGGTATGTTGGCTCAAAGGTGGATCTTCGTTGTCGGTTCATCAATAGTTCCCCGCCTGTCAAAATCTCACAGGTAACACAGTCGATGGCCCACCTGAGCATGGGAATCACTCCCAATTTTTTGTAACATTGAAGAATGACATCATAAAATAAATGACCTGATGATAAAACCGGATTGAAAAGACAACTGTTCTTCCCTCGCATGTCATACTCAGTTGATAGCCTAGACAGCGAGATAATCACTCCGTCAATTAAATACGCAAGACAAAGATCAAGGGATTAAGGTCTGGAGTGGAAGCTTTGTTTTTGTGTCTGGTAATGATGATAAAACGACACATTTTACATGTTTACTCTAAGATATTTGTGTTCATATTAAACTGTTCACCAGGATAAGAAAGTATTTGATAATAATTAGAGTGACTTGAAATGTAGCTATCCATGACTGGACCTCAATCCGCTTGTGCTTTGCAATTTAAAAAAAAAACAGAACTATCTAGTTGTAGTTAGTCTCATGACTTCCACAAAATGTTTGCATCTATACCAAATCAAAGTCAGATATTGCTAGCGATGATATAAGCAAGCAACTTAAGTTAGCCAATTGTTTGTCGCGTATCTAATCGGACGAACATTAGCATCGTAACATTAGCTGATAAACTTATCTGCAAAAGGAAGCTATAAAATATACAAACCGGAACAACCTGAGGAGTCTGGATGAATATGCTGACATTAGCAATAAGAGACAACATTTTGCTACGTCAGCTAGATAACAGGCTCAACCACTAGAAAACGAGCTCGCGTGGGCCAACCACATAAATGTACCTAATAGATCAAAAACTTTTCAGAAAAAACTTTTATTTACATTATTTTTGCCTGACTTGTTCAATAGAAATCTAGCTGATAACACATTTTTGTGCCTTGTTTGACTTTGAGAAATAAGTCAACAGTCTGTTTAAGGCAACCTGGAAATACAGGGAAGGATCTAAAATACAATTTGATAAATAAACTGCTTCATCTCATGAATGACTTTGTTAATAGTAGCTTTCCAAAACCTGATTCTTAAACATCTAGTACGGCGCATTGTTTACTTCAAGATGCTACATTTAATTTGTGTATGACATTGCAGAAACAATATAACAATATAACCCCAAACCTAACAACTGTTTATTATCAACTGTGGTTTAATTTCAAAAATTGATCAAAGTTTGTCAGTGTAATGTTCATATTTGTAATCGCTCCTGCCAAGTGGAAAGTAAAGTCAGTTATTACATCTAATGCAGGAAAGAGTCTCTGATGAAATAAACAGCACTATGTAATGATGAGAGGAAAAAATAGTGCATGTTTGTCTCCATGTAATTTCCATTCAATTAAATACGGGAAAATGTCATTTTGCAACTATAAGAGGGGGCATAACTGAGGACTTAAAATTATTTATTTTAATAGCAGACTGAAGTCAACATTCATTTGTTGTTTATCAATGACCCGAACACTATCCATCCATCCACTGACGATACTCTAGGGCTGTAGCCTATTCTAGCTGTCATTGGACGAGAGGCTGGGTACGTCCTAAGCCCAGGGCTGACCTATAGAGACAAACAAACATTGACACATAGACATAACGTTAGGCAATTCAGAGTCACCATTTAAACCAACGAGCATGTCTTTGGAATCTGGGAGGACATCAGAGGACTTAGAGAGATCCCACACTAGCCTAGAGAGAACACGTGAATTACACGCTAAAAGCTCCTATCCAGACAGTTGGTTGAAACCAAGAGGCTTCTGGCTGTGAGAAGCAGTGCTAACCACCATAACACTGTGTCCCTTCAGTAACTTCCATTCTTCTCTCTCAAGGTGACATGGCAGAAACTGGTGAATGGCACCAAGCAGAACGTGGCGATCGCCAACCCCTCTCTTGGTGTGTCTGTTGCCCCGCCCTACAGGGACCGAGTGGTCTTCAAAAACGGAGCAGTGAGGCGACGAACTCCAAATCTAGAAGACACCACTATCACCTTTTCCTCGCTGCGTCTCGCTGATGAATGCACCTACATCTGTGAATACACAACGTTCCCCGCAGGGAACAGAGAAAACACAGTAAATCTCACTGTCTTCGGTAAGACGGATGTGTAACGTTCTTGGCATTAAGTTGAAAACTGTGAAACATCACTAATCTTAAAAAACTCAAACTGTTTTGTTTTGTTTTTACACCAAGATTTAAGTATGTATTAAAACATTTTAATTTAATGAGTTAGTCACTGAGTTTGCAGAAGCTTGAATTTGCAAAATGCTGCCAGCTTCTAATCAAAACTAACAGCTCCAGGCTCTAGCGTCATGTTTACTTGTGTGCATTTATTCACTTTTAAAATGTTGCTTATAGGTTATAGAGGAAATCAGCCCATGATTTAAAAATGCTATGTAGGAGAATTCTCTTTTAATTGATAACGTCAGACCTATACTCGCATAGGATGAACAATACCTGTAGGATACAAATAATGGCATTATAGCTTATAAAATTGTGACTTAATTCAATCAGCTCCATTGAATATAACGCTTTAAATGGGGCGCTGGTGGTGCATTGGTTAGTGCGCACGGCCCATTTATGGAGGCTGTAGTCCTCCAAGCGGTCGGCCCAGGTTCAAATCTAACCTGTGGCTCCTTCCCCGCATGTCATTCCCTGCTCTCTCTCTCCCCGATTCCTGACTCTATCCACTATCTCTACAATAAAGGCACAAAACGCCCAAAAATAAATCAGAATATAACAGTTTAAATGACTTTGATGCGAGCAAATCGATTACCAAACCAAATGCTGTTTAGATGTACTTTAAAGAAAATGTTAAATGGGATTAACCTGTCAAGAATTTGAATGGGCAGGTATATGTTAAAAATAGATCAACATCATATCTTTGTTGTTTTTCACTACCTCAGTTCGCCCCACAACTCAGATGAGTCTGTCCACGCCAACCCTTGTGGCTCGCTCGTCCAATCTGAAAACACCAGTGGCCAGCTGCGTTTCAGCCAATGGAAAACCACCTGGCACAATCAGGTGTGTGTTTATGTGTGTGTGTGTGTGTGTGTGTCTGTGTGAGTGTAAAATGTATGCTTTAGTGGAGGAAGAGGAGTGTTTCAGCTCCTCATTTTTAACTCTGTCATCACAAATCAGGACACATCTCTGTGTGATGACACTGATTCCGTGTTGATGTTGTGTTCAGGTGGGAGACGAGGGTGCCAGGAGAAGTGACAACCAGAGAATTCAGAAACTCAGACGGGACATTCACTGTTCAAAGCGACTACATTTTGGTGCCAAGCAAAGATACACACAAGGAGACACTCACCTGTGTCACCTCATACAACGAGGAGGTCTTCACTGACAGTGTCACCCTGGATATTCAGTGTACATTTTTTTTTCCTCACAGACAACATTATGCACATAGCTATACAGATTTAACCAAGTATGAAAGCTGAATGTTTTTTTTAAATTTATTTCTCATCAGATGAGCCAGATGTTTCAGTGGATGGGTTCGATGGAAACTGGTACCTGAACAGAGAAAATGTCCAGCTGAGCTGCCAAGCTGATGCCAACCCAGCCGCCTCTCTGTATCAGTGGCGACTGTGAGTACAACTCTGTTTGTATGCGTTCAAATTTAATGATAGGGTTAGGTCATTTTAATACTATGAGATTAAGGAGGTTATTGTCAAGGCATAGACTACTTTCAAAAGGGTGACTTTAAAATATGACAAAAAAATGTATAAAAGAAATGTCCAAAAGCTGAATAAATCCCTCCCTTTCTGTATCATAAAATTAAGTTGCAAGGTGGACAAAGTGTGGATTGAAGTTTGTGTCCTACTTGCACTTTCTTTAAGTGTTATTTTCTTATTTATTCTTCAGTGTAAATGGCACAATACCAAGCAATGCAGAGATCCGAGAAAATATCCTTACCTTTAAAGGGCCAATCACGTATGAGGTCCAAGGCACCTATGTGTGTGATGCCACCAACAGCATTGGGACGCGATCAGCCTCTGTGGAGGTCAGCATTATAGGTATGTTTACCTGGGCTCTGGACGAAAACTATGACTGCTACTGATGTTACTTATAGTTGTAATTAAAGTGTTTCTTTAAATGCAATGTCAGTTATAGGGAATCATAAAGCTAACATGAAATGTGCTTGATGTTTTCTTTTTAGAAAAGCCACTACCACAGATTGCAACAGGTGATGTCATCAGCGTAGTTGCCTTATTACTTGCTGCTGGAGTGCTCATGGGCATTACGATAACAGTCCTGGTGCTCAAAATAAGAAGCCGGAAAGACGACTCCTCGTATGTAAACAGTCCATTATTTCTCCCTCCATTTGTTTCCTTTGTTTGCTGGTTATTCCTTTGTAGACCTGTTGTACCCTGGAGTACCATCCTCATCTTTTATTCTCTTTTCCTCCTTGATCAGAAATGACTCTCCGTCCAAAAAACTGTCACAGCCGATAAGGAAAAGACCAGCCGATGACATCCAGGTACCTTTGAAATGCCACATGTTCTAAGAGTTGCCAGTGTGCTCAAGTGCATCAAAATAGAAAATACAAAAACTGCCAAAGCCAAAGGGCATTAATCCCATAAGGCCTGAAGGCTAAAAGAAGCTCCGAACGAGTAAATTTAAACCTGGTCACAGTCGGTAACCTACTGATACAGGTCAGTGGTTTCATCATGTCAGTGGGTTGGAAAAAAACTAAATAATAACGAACTTGAATGCCAGTGTGTTTAAGATTACAAAGTATGTTCCATAATCTTTGCCTTTTTTAATAGTTTCTGTTATAATTAACAATGATGTAGATGATATAAATTAACTTTAACTAGTGTCTGTGCTCTTATAAGAAGGATACATTTAGAATTTGTCCTGCTGTAACAGTAGAATAAGAGAAAGTTCGAAAAACAATCCATACACATTAACATAGTCCTTAGTAGAGGTTTAATGAGGTTAAAAACTGACCTGATAAACGGCTGTGTTGGTAGCTTCAGTAGTGTAACTCTATCATAAGCATTGCTTTACATAGATGAACAACAGTTTATCATTACACTGTTTTTTTTTGTGGAATTAGGCTCTGTACTATACCAGAGCTTGTTAATTAATTGGTGCAAACTGTAGGACCAAAATGGCTTCATTCTAGGTGGAATCTGTGTGATCAGAGGAGTTGTGGGTGAAGTGCTTTACAATAATGTAATTTAATTGTGTTGTACAGTTTTAAAGACTATAGTTTAAATAACCATTCAGGAAACAGGTATGTTAAGCTGACACATTTAACGGGAGGATGTCAGATGCATTTTACTGATCAACTTTATGGTGTTACACAGCAGTAAAAAAGTGTTTACTTTCACTAATGGGTTGTGTGTACTCTGCAGTATATACAGTGTTTTGAATGCATGTTTTTCCCCAAAAACTAAAACATTCTGACAATTCTTTAACCAGCATTGTTAACATCATTTTTTTTTAAATGGTCTTCTTCTCCTCTTCTTAATTGATGCAAGGTTACCTTTCATGCTCCTGCTACCTTTGAATCAGTATAAAAAAGCTTGACATTTTTAGTAGTGCTGTGTATCACTACACCTTATTTATATGAGTGCTAACAATGGGAACCTGTATAAATTAGACTTAAGCCTTGCTTGAAGGATGAAAGACTTTTATCTTGGTGTCAAATCACTGTTGTCCGTAAATGTAGTCAATTGAATTTATAAATTCTGCATTGACTGGGATACTTAATGATACAGCGCTCTTTTACTTGTGCTGTCAGTGCCTACACATACCAGGATGCATTGTGTTAGAGGTGCCACTACCTTGAAGATTCTTGCATTGGCCATTTAGTCTAGCTCATAAAATTAAGGCGGAATAACTGAATTAGCCAAAAAACTATAAAATGTATCCCCATTCATAACATTGTCCATCCATCCATTTTCTTCCACTTTTTTCCGAGGTTGGGTCACGGTGGCAGCAGAAAAAGTAAGTCAACCCAGATAACCCTCACCGTCACAACGGTTTCCAGCTCCTCTTTTGGGAATTTGAGGCGCTCAAAGGGCAAGTGGAGTATATAAACCCACCAGCGAACTCTGGGTTTACCCCACGTTCTCCTCTTAGTTGGGCGTGCCCATAAAACCTCAGAAGAGACACATCCTAATCAGATGCCAGAACCACCTCAACTGGCTCATTTCCATGCAAAGGAGTAGCAGGCTTGCCCCAAATATCTCATCTCACCCTTTCTCTAAGGCTGAGCCCAGCCACACTCCGGAGGAAACTTGTTTCGGCTGCTTGTATTTTTGATCTTAATCCTTTGGTCGCCACCCATCACTCATGGCCATAGGTTAAATCAAGAGCTTTACCCTCAGGCTAAGATCTCTCTTCATCACAACGTTTCGGTACAATGCCCGCATTACGGCCCACACTGAGCCAATCCTCCTGTCAATCTCACGGCCCCTTATAACCTCACACCGGGGTAAACAAGACCCCAGTATACTTAAATCCCTTCACTTGGGGAAAGGACTCCCCATGCGGAGGTAGCACTGTTTCCCAGGGGAGAACCATGGCCTCGGTCTTGGAGTTCCCATCCCTGTCATCCCAGTTACTTCTGCAAACTGCACCAATGTCTGCTGGAGGTCCCAGCATGGGGAAGCCAACAAAACCACATCATCTGCAAAAAGCAGAGATGAGATTTTGAGGCCCTCAAACTAGAAACCCCCCCCCCCCGGCTGCGCAAGCACACCAGTAACGTGTCTGACTTTGTGCCGAGGATGCAGACACAGCTCCAACTTTGGTTGTACAGGTTCCAGATGGCCCGTATAGCAACAGACCCGGAACCCCATATTCCTGCTGTACCTTCCACAGGACACTGTCATAAGCCTTCTCCAAGTCTACAAAGCACATGCAGACTTGATGAGTAAACTCCCATGCCCAGGGTTTTGCTTTCCAAACACTGAAGCCACAGCCCTTGAATCAACCCCGATACCTGTCAGGTTAACCAAGCCCGAAATTTCCACCAGTTGGTTCTAAGGTTGCCATCACGACAGGCACAAATGGTCTACTGACTGCCACTCCTACAAGCCGCTTCCACAATAAAGACTTTGAACATGAACCACTCAGAATCCATGTCACCAACCTCCCCCGGATGAAAGCGATATTCTTTTGGAATTGGACAGGGTTCCTCACGGACAGGGTTCTCTGCCAGATGTTTCCAGTTCCCCCGCAGTACACTTTAAGGCTTACCAGGTCTGTCCAGCAGCCTTCCCTGCCGTCTGATCCAATTAACCACAAAGTTGAACATCGATCTTTAGCCCAGCCTGTTCTGGTACAAAGTACACTTATGAACACCGCTATGCTCAAACATGGTGTTCATTTTGGCCAATCCATGACAAGCACAGAAGTCCAATATCAAAGACCGACCCTCCCCTTACCCAAAGACTAAAATAACAATAAAAGATGTTTCTCACAGTACAATACACCTAGCTAGAAGAAAGACGATACAGCAATTCTGCAATAATTGACGTATTGCAAGAAAATACTATAATGATTTGTCACAATATTTGATTAACTAAAGAATATTAAATGCCCCTAAAAAGGTCAATTTCACCTCTTTTCACGCTTCAATCTCTTATCATTTCACTGTTTTCTGACTGTATCCCCCTGTCTTCTTCTGATTCTTCCTCTTCTTTTAACCCGCTTGTCTTCTTTATCGGCCATGTAACTTCAGCCAGGTTACCTTCATGCAGGTCATACACGCTACCATGAGGGGTTGGGCAGAAGTGACGCATCTATTCAATTGGCTGGGAAATCTGTTAAAAAGAGAGCTATTTTTTAGTTAATATTTGATATTTGGCAACAGTTATTCTATAATCATTTCATACAAATCAGGATGACGATATATTGCCTAATCAATTTTTTTTTCCTTAGTATTAACTGTGCACCTTATATACTTTTCCAATTATTGAGCCTTTGTATTGTTTCTCATAGCGCACCATGTTTATCATGTCTGTCGTCTCTTCACAGCATTCAGGACGATTTTATGAAGAACTCCCAAACACAGCTGACTACGTGAGCTACAGGCTGGCCTGCAACAAGGAGGACTATCCTGAGCCCTACTCCCCTCCCATCAACCCTCCTCTGTCATTTCTGCCCCAGCACCCTTACCATTCATCACACACAACCCCCGCAACCAGCAGCAGCAGTAGTAACACCATGTCAAAAAACACTTTCTCTCCTCCTCCGCACACCACAGCTATCTTTAAATACCCCTCAGTACCAGGCCTATCTTCACCTCCCCCAGGAGTGGGGGCGTATACTTTTCCCAAAGAGCAGTATGTCTGAACCGGCACTGAATTTGTCTCAAACTGAAACTGCTTCAATGAGGACAGATGACACAACACGATTTTTCCCCAAACCTTTCCTGTAAGGGAGATTTTGTTTGACCCTGGACTATCAGGCGGTGTCTTTGCACCCTCTGCATCTTATTGGACAGCTCCGGGGGGCAAAGGACAATTCAGCTTCTGATGTCAGACTTTGAATTGAGTCCCATTTTTAAATATTTTATTGTTTTGTTGTGTCTTTTATTATATAATCTATTTTGTGAAAAGGGAAGATTGTGGGACCATGATTTAATGTCATTTGAAAAATGTATATTGAATGGATGTATTACATTTGATTTGCAAATGCTTACAACATTATTTATTATTTCTTGATCTCCGATGTGATCCACCCCTTACTTTATCTGATATTGTATATATAATATACAATAATAATAATATAATATAATTCTTTAACTCTGAGGCCCACTCTTTTTATCCTGCAACATTCATACCCATAATCCTTTCACTGTAGAACAGCGGAACTCACCTTTTCATTTCCTTTTGTATTTTGTATCATGCTTTTCTTTGCATTTGAAAAAAAAACAACACTGAAGAAATGGTGTTGTTTCATGAAATTTATGTTTTTATTCATGGTTTTAGTTTTCACTGAGATTGGTTGTTGGATGAGCCTTGAATTTTTAGCATTTAAATAAAAATGACCATGTTAACTTGTGTTAATGGTGACTGAAAATATGAAACCATATACTTACTATTCCACACTCTTGCCTTTAAAAGTCTCTTTGTATACAATGAAATATCCATTAACAGTTACAAATCTGCTCTGGGCTCTTTTCTTGATGTTGTTAAAGAGTAGTTTGGATGGTTAGTTTATTTGTAACCGTATCAGCCAGATAAATCATAATGTTGGTGGTCAGTTTTCTTTTTAGGCTCAAACTGAAATATGCCTTTTTAAACTGTTAGATTGATTGTCATTAAATGTTGTACTGTTGTGAATGGCCTTAAGAGGATGATTGTTTCAGAAGTCCCTCCAGTAGGTCAAAGTTCCCAATTATAATTTGCTAACTTGCAACTACCTTGCTAACATGTAATACTGAAACAACAAACATTATTAACTTATTAATCACGTTACCGTTGTCTATGTAAATGAGCATAGTAGCATGCTAACCTTAGCTTTGAGCTCTAGGCACTGTTGTGACAGTACAGTATCAGACCTACTTGCTTGTCCCATTGACTGTACAGGCACTAATTATTCAGGATTAGCCTGGTTGCCATTTTTTATATTGAAAACTGTCATAATAAATCATCTGTTCCTGTTTGATAGGGTCAAACAGAGTTCAGTATAGGGATTTGTTGTGGCTTCATAAGCCTCTGGTATTTGGTGTTTAATTATAAAATGATGTGTTACAAATTTGAGAGTATGGTTTATTATCCACAAAAAATAAAACAAAACAAAACGTCATTATTATGAGCAAACTACATTCACTGAAAAAAAAAAATGTTTTCTTTTTTTTTTCCCGAAGCTATGGAGTCATGATCATATTTTTATGGACGTTTAAAAACAAAGAAATAATGTAATGCTAGTGCGTCCAATTAGAAAGTAAAGAGGAGAAGAAGCATACTTTTGGTGTCCCATGTTTCCGTTCCCATACAGTTACCACTTTCCGGCACAAGTTCTATTGGAAGGCTCCATCAGTCTGCTATTATGAATAGATTCTAGAAAGTCAGCCTATCGCTGCCCGTATGCTGATCAAATTCATGACAATTAATTCACAGCTTCTTGAGCAACAAGTAGTGTCCAGTTTGTGGGACCTCACAGACTGTGAACGTCCTTTTGTTTTTTTAAATCCATCATTTTTAGCTGCATCAGTCTGTTGCGCAGCAATGCTTAATTGTCTAAGCCTTGGAAAGATCTGGGTCACTATCAGAAGGCTGGTAGACCTAAGAGCTGTGTGTTTACTTAAATCTTTTTCTCAGTTGTTGAGTTTTACAGCACAAAAATAAGAGTAGAGTGTAAAGATTATGAGAATGTAATGGTTCTGCATATTCGTTTTTTAAAGTGGATAATAAACATAAAAAACTGCCATTGTGATCAACCATTGAAGATAAATAAATACTTATGACAGCATCTTCCTGTTTTAACTGTTTCACACATATAGTGTAATTTCACTTGATTGTTGTGTTATTTTTAAATAGATATGGCTTCTCCGTCATTGTCTGTCTTGTTTGATTGCATTTCAGTCTTTGCCAAGGGAGGAAAACCGATCCCTGTCCTGCATTCATGCATGACACACATCTCACATTACATTCTCATGGTTCCACTTAACATGCTCTCTTTATTCTTTCATTAACACAGAAATGCACATCAAGTAGATCTAAAAACACTGGACAACAGTAACTTGATAGACAACTGTGTGTGTTTGTGCAGCATCAGCACATCATTCACTGGACACCACCGCTTTATGTCTTTAAACTGTGGCTTGCAGAGTGTCGAGGTCACAGCATGTTGCATGTTGTGAGGAAACACAGACCAACTCTATGAGATGCCAGATTTCTAAATCTATTTTAATCCTAATCCCATCAGTACAGTTTACTCTGCTCTCTGGTCCTCTGAAATTAAAAATCTGAGGTTTGTAATTTCACAACGCAACCAAGATCTGATTTTACTGGGAAAAACAGATTTTCATTGCCTCAAAAATTAATTGCAAACTTTTATTGTTTGTGCAGCCTGAAAGACCTTTACGTCCCTAAGCTTGTAGAAAAAAGAAAAGAAAAAGAAATACGGATAAACCTTGTTTGACTCCCTGTTTTTCATTCCTTATTTTTGTGCACATCCCCTGCAGGCAGGCTGAAAAGAAAATTGTTTGTATCTGGATGAAGAATTCATCATTCTGCCACATAGCAGAATTAAACAAATCTTTGATTACTCCAAAAATCATTATGATATACTCAATGAACATTGATTTAATTCAAGCTTTGAGATTTTATTTATGTGTTTAATTGTATTGTTTGGGCAATGAATTATATAAATGTACAAATCAATAAATAAATGACAGTGTTGACTTGTGAATTAGGAGAAAAGGTGCAGATGAAATATAAAGTCTAGTGGAGTAATGTTCATGTGAAGAGCCTTGATATCAGCTATTAGTTAATGTGCAGGTGTGTTTGGGAGACTAACCTGTCCTCCTATGCTTCTAACCTGTATAATAGATGAGCTGCGTATCGTTGTGTTATTCTAACCCTGCGGGAGAAAGAAAGAGGGAAGGAGGGGTAGAGAGAAAGGAAAAACACATGAATAATTGAGTCCAAATCAGTTTAGTGACCCTCAGTCCCTTCCTACTCTCAGTCTCATACGGTCAATGGGATTCTACCTCTGGATCTGAGAGAAGAAAAGAGACAACTTCAGGGGAGGCAACTTATGAAAGGCTGTTTCTGGGGGCCATAGCTCTACGTTTTTATATTAACATTTTTTAAAGAGTAAAAAGGTTGTTGGACTCTGGATCATCATGATACCATGGTGGCCCAACTGCTAGGACTGGCATTTCTTTTCCTCCAATGTACATGTACTGAGGCCACTTCTACGACTTATGGTAAGTCCAGTGTCTTTGATTCATTTTCGTCTATTTGAATTGCAGATTGTGACCCTACATAAGAGTACTTGAACGGTCAAACAGCATTAGAATAAAATGTGCTATTACTTCAGTTAGCCAATGATTTTGGTGAATCACAACAATAATTGATAGCTAGTTTTAATCATGTATGTCATGATTATGTTTAACCTCTGTAAATAAAAACACAAAAGATTTTTGGGGGGATAAAAATTAGTTTACAGTGTCATTTATTAAATAGACAATTTTACATTTTAAATAATAAAAATGTCATTGTTCTTTGATAAGACATGCTATAATACCAATGTATCTGTGATGAGCTAATATTAAATATATCAATACATCAGTATATCGGATATATATCGACCCGGACAATTTATTATTGGGGATGTGTTATGATACATTTAAAAACAAAATCTATGAGAAAAGACCTACAATATATTCTTTGAATTATATTAGGACTGAACGCTATTTTAATGTGTTTATTATATTTCATTGCGTCACACAACAGTTTTCATCCTAGGATTAAAAAAAAAGGTTATACCTACATTTACATTTTTTATTATATTATTCAGCCCTATAAGGTCTGTAAGAACATCACAAAAATAAAGAAAATAGTTAAAGAAATAAGATGCAGAAGATGAAAAAATTGTGGCTGGAAAAACTGTTTGACTAATCCCATTACTCGGTTTTGAATCGCTTTTTAAACTATCAGTGTGTCTGAAACGTACAGTGTAACCAATCCTGTAACTGAACACTGTCAGGGCACACTACACCACCATCTCATTTTCCTCCACTCCATTCCTTTGCATGCATACCTGCGTGTCCTCTTCCTCCTCTTGCAGTGAAGATCAATCACAACTGGGAGGTGGTGTACCAGGACACCAGTGTGTATGGGGTAGTGGGCAAAGCTGTGATCCTGGAGTGCGGGGCCACTTTACCTGACATGTACATATGGAGCTTCACCAAGCCAGGCACTGAAGCTATAAAAGCTGTGGTGTATAATTTGGGCAAAGGAACGAGGATCCAGAAGCTGGCAGAGACACTTGGAAAGATCACAATCATCTCAAACAGCGCAGCTGTGAGCATCGAGAACCTGCCTGTGGCCGCTCATGGCCTGTTCACCTGCCAGGCCTTCTATGACATCGAGCTAGAGCCCAAAGTCTACTACTACTACGTGCACCTCACTGTCCGAAGTAAGACCGCCTGTTCTCTGAAACACCTTCTTCACACAGGGGTGTAGTTAGCAGAGTGGGTGGGTGTTGGTGGGAAGTGTGTGTTTGTGTAATGAGGAGCTGATGGGGATACTTTTGTCTTTTATACTCCAAACCAAACCACCATTCTAATAACATCTGAGGTAACATCCATATTCCAATATTGATCTAATGATTCCGTAACAGTGTAATATTGGCGTCCCAGTCTGTGAATCCACAATGTGTCAACATTTCGGAAGCACAGCACAGCGGGAGCCCCACATAATGACCTCAAATTGTCGGTTGGGATTTGCTAGCTAGATGAGAAGCCAGCCAAGCGGGATGGGCGAGTTTCAGCAACCAAGGTATTCAATCAGTCTCAACTCCACCTCTTTGCCTGTTGGAAGTGAGTTGGAGTCAGCAGTTCCAATATGGTGACTGCCATTGTTGGGCTTCATATCCTCTGATGTCACTGAGATAACATCCACGATATAAGCGTATTCTTCTTTTTGCGACATAAACATAACATATTATGGAACCCTTTTTGAAATAGGACAGTGAAACCATTCTTATATTAATACATTAAAAATGAAATTAAGGAGACATTTAGCTTAAATAAGTGGGCGGAGCAAGCCCTGCTCTGGCCAAAGATACATTTTTTATTTCATCTCTTCCAATACTGACATTAAAAACATAATAATTGGATTTTAAGACTATGAACCAACATGGTTAGATCAGAATTTGTTTTAGTCTTCAGCAATTAAAACAAAATTGCAGATTTGAATGTTTCTTTTTTTTTGTAAGATTTATTTTTGGGCTTTTTGTGCCTTTAATTGAGAGATATGACAGTGGATAGAGCCAGAAATCAGGGAGAGAGAGTGGGGAATGACATGCGGGAAAGGAGCCACAGGCCGGATCCGAACCCGGGCCGCCGGCCTGGAAGACCACAGCCTCCATACAAGGGTCGCGCGCACCAACCACTGTGTCACCAGCGCCCCAATTTGATTGTATTTTTAAGTAATTTAAAATTAAACACATTGTTTCCCATCTAGTACTTTACAAGTACAACCATGTGTATAAAAAACCATTAAAAGCAATTGCAGCCTCACTCAGCTTGGATGTTGATACCTGTTCAGGCTAAATATATAAAGGTAGTGTGATGTGTCATCAGCATACATAGATTTTATTCATAAATAATGCTCTTCTGTTAATGAGACAGAAAACAAACTTACTTTGAGACTTTTTTTTCTTGAATACAGTTCCAATCACAAGGCCCTTCCTGCTGATGAGTGATGCATCTCCAGTGGAAGGCTCTACGATGTGGATGCGCTGCAATCTTGAAAATGGGACTGGACCAATCCAGTATGTGTGGCAACATGAAACCCGTGGTGGCAATATCACAACCTTTGCACACAGCAACACCAGTGTTATTAACGTGACAAATGTCAACCGTAACCACTCTGGCTGGTACCGCTGTGTGGCCAGCAATGCTGTCAACAGCGAGAGCTCCAACCGGTTACTGCTGGAAACCATCTGTAAGTCATTTTTCACTTGGAGAAACACTTTCTGACTTAATATCTAGTAGAAGTTAAATCCTTTTCAGACACTATATCACATATCACAGCAGCTATGCATTTACTTTGTGATTTCTTAAACCCTCCCTGTTGTCCTCAGTTGGCCCGGACATTCCTCAGATCGACGTGTCTCCATACACAATAACAGAGCGAGGATATTCAGCTGTGGAAAGAGAGACAGTTTCTTTACTGTGTCAAGCCCAGTCGAACCCAGCCAGTCAATACGTCTGGTTCCACAACAACTCCCAGGTCTACGCCGGGCCACATTATACCATCACTAAGATCTTCCGCATGCACACCGGCGACTACGCCTGCTTGGCACAGAACACTTACCTCAACACCCGCTCCAAAAAATCCATCAGCCTGACTGTCTACTGTGAGTGTGAACTCTGATCTCTCACCTTGGCCTACGCCATCAATCCTCCTACTCTTCAGTAAATCTCTTTAATCAGTCTCAGCTTGTGTTCCTCTGTCTTGGTGCTACAAATGGCAAAGACCTAGATTCAGATTTGACATTTAAAGTTCAAGACTAAGAGAACACAAATCCAGGATCTTAATCACCTTTGATTTTTCATCTGTATTAACACTTAATCTCCTACTGAAATAACACTCCCTGCACCTCCAGTTAAACCTGTCCTATTTTCAGTGTTACACCAAAACCTCCTTCATTTCTTGCTTCTCTCAGCCAATCACCTCTGCAATTCCCTTACTCCCTACACTCTGTGAGACTCCAAAACAGAACCATAAGCCATCCAAATACACATCTGACACACACTCAGACACAAACACACTCACAGCAGAGGGTGGTGGATATGCTGCAGACCTATTCTCCTGCTCTGGCCGACTGGGAAGTTGATTGGACTCTCTGGAAGGTACCTCGCTGTGATTTCACAGCCATGGCAAGCGTTGGTGGGCTAGAGAACTGGACGCTTGTCATTCTGTTCCAATATTTGTTCTTGTTAAGTTATTGAATTTCTGAAAGTCACTCAGATCATTTGTCAGAGATAATACACTATGTAACAAGACTTAAAAAAAATCTCCTATCTAATTTTACTAAGTTGATTCATATCAAACAGCCTTTAAATTTTAGTTCTATAGGCACTGTCCCTGGCTCCAATGACCTCATACAAACCCCACTTTACACATCCCTACCTTGTTGTTACGCTGTATCTTATCCCCACAGACCCACCAGATGGCTCCCCATCCTGTTCTGTGGAGCCGACTCTCAATCACACCTCTCTGAGACTCCTCTGCTCCTGGTCCGGGGGTTTCCCCTCCCCCAACCTCCACTGGACCGGGGACCTGCATCGAGTGGCACAAAACGAGTCTGACACAGGGCAGCAAAGTTACCCCTTGACCAATACTGCCATCTTGCTGCGATCTGAAGACTTGAATTCTAATAACAGTTTGTTCACATGCGTTGGCTCCCACATAGCACTAAAACAATCATTAGAGTGCAGCACACGCTCATGTAAGAAAGTTACATTTACTTTTCACATTTCACACTTTTATCCTGTCTTTCAAACTTCAACTCATTTAAACCTCTTCTCCATCAGACATTCCCCCTGCAGAGCCAGTGTGTTTTGCCTACATAACTAACAACAGAAAGTATCTGCTGCTTTCCTGCTCCTGGGATGGGGGAACCCCAAAGGCCTTGGTGTGGTGGGAGGGCCCGGGGGGACAGGGGAACGGTGGGGAAGAAAACTCAAACATCTTGATCCTCCGCTATGGCACTGCTCAAGGTGGGATACCCTACACCTGCCATGCTAGGCATCCACTTCTGGCACAAACCAAGACCTGCAGGCTCACACTTGGTCAGTTAACATTCTCAAACACACCAATCAAAACAAACATCAGCAGAAATACTTTGTTGACTTCTTCACATTATCACCCGTAGAGGCTCCTGTACTGCTGACGCAGCGCAAAGTCGTGTCAGTGTACGAGGGCAGTGATGTCCAGCTCACCTGCAATCTTAGAGCCAACTACCTTCCTGTCAGTGAAATCACCTGGTTTAACAATCAGGGTGTGGACGTCCGAGACACCTCCAAGTACAGGCTGCAAAGAACATCTGCATGGGCAAATCTGACAGTGAGAGACACACATGAGAATCAAGACAGCGGCGAGTACAGATGCTCCACATCCAATGCAGTGGGAGGAACTGAAATCAATGTCACTCTTGTGGTCAAGAGTAAGAAATGTTTCTGTTTTTTTAACTATGTATATGTATTGTCTTCCTGCTAGAGGATTGACTCTACATTTTGATTTAGCATTTTACATCTAAGACCATTAACTTACAAACCTGTCTTTTAAATGGAATGAAAGAAGTCATGGACTAATATGTTTGACTCATGTTACACCCCCAACATGTCCACAATTAATTAAGCAATTAGCACAATGAGCCTTACTTTGCATCCAGACATTGCATATATAGTTGATATGAAATGATTCAAAATGATACAATCTCAGTTATTTTAATGAACAATAGTATCGAAAGTACTAAGGCTTGAAAAAACACTTCAGATCTTCAGCCATATCTTAAACCAAAAGCTGATGCGAGCAAAAGAAAGTGACTATTGTCTTAATTACCCATATATATCTGCAACCTTTGGGTACCAAAAAATAACACACAGGGAGGGGCCAGCATTTTGTCAGCCATTGTGGTTCCAATGTGAAAGTACAAAGGCTTTGTGACAGAGGAGCTTTGTTATGGCGCAGTGGCAGACTCGATGTAAAAACAAAGCTCTAGTGACAATGCTAACATGCTACGTAAAATGGTACAATTCTTATAATATTTAAAGTATTACACTTCTACCATTCTGAATACAGTATACTGTAGGCACTAAACAGAAAGTACGGCTGAGGCTGATTGAAGTGGTATCAGCTTTGCAAGCATTTGGTGATTAAACAAAGTATCCTAGTGGACAAAAGTTTTGACCTCATGGTTAGCAAGAAAGTAAAAGTCAGTATCACCAAAACCAGTATAATTAATCTTGTAGGACATGAATGTCAGAAAGAAAAATTATATGTCCATTCTTTTAAATATCTTAAACTTTTGTCTTGCTTACTGATGTCCATTTCAGTATTTCAGTCCAGTTGTTTTTTCTCCTTTATCAGGACACCCCATGCCACCCAATGTGACCCTGGTAAAAGTGGAGTACAATGGCCGACAACGTAACGAGGTGGAGCTGGAGTGGCTGGTAGAGAGTGAAGAAGAAAGCGGCTGGACAGGTTTCATCCTGGAGCACCGATGGATGTCAGAGCAACCAGGAAGGAGAGGCGGCAGCAATGACTCAAAAGAGGAGACAAAGTCGAAGATCGGTCCACTGGTCTGGTACCAGAACATCATCCAGGACCCAGAGGTCAGGAGACAGACAGTAGGGAGACTGACACCAACTGAGACCTACCAGTTCCGCATCACACCTGTCAACCACCGCACCGTCGGACACCCTTCTTCAGCAAAGTCTCCAGGTATAGTAAGTGATCAGAGTGAGGATTAGTGTGGTTAGATACATGAGTAAGCAAAGACAGGGCCTAGAGTCTGTGTTGCCTTAATAATTGGATAGTAATTAATTAAATATGAACAAATGCAGGGGAAAAAAACAAATAGTAAAGCAAAAGGTGACAGGTGAGTTAGGTGATGTTTCTAACTTTGTTGATGTTGCTGTTTTGCTCATTGTTTTACTGACAGTCTAACTTTTTTTTTTGTTATCCACTTAGGTGAAAGACTCATACACAAACTAAAACACAAACAATTACACACACATCACAGCACTGCACCACTCATTTCATCTCTACCTTGCTTGCTCCTTACCTTTCCTCTAACTGGCCTGTGGTGCTTCTTATAAACTGTATGTTTCTACTGTACAGTGTTTATTAGGGTGTGACTGCTCTTATCAAATCAGGTTATGATTGAGAGTGTAGAAAGGCTTATTGGTCAGGTTAGAACAGGACGGTGGTTTTCAACCCATGTGCTTTTAATGCATCAGTTACCCTGTGAGGAACTTCTGTTCATTTAAACATGAGGTTGATTTATTACCGTTGACTTTAACTTTTTATTTTAAAAGACAGTGTGTCATTTACTGCTGCTTTATCATAAAGACACACTGCACAGAATGAATGTAATCTTGCTTGAGACAGGGAAGCAAACATTTACAAAGAAAATCACAAATTTGGCTTATACATAAAAAAACAACTAAAAACAACTAAAAACAACGCTGACATGGGTTGAGAAACACCAGACGGAGGTGTAACATGTTGAATAAACAGTGTGAGGCAATTCTGTGTTTTGTCGGACGTTCTATTTTGCAATATGTAACTGTGATGTGTTGCAGCGGAACCGAGCTCCAATGTCCTACCTGCTGTAATCGGAGCAGCTTTTGGCGGGATGCTCTTGGCAGCCTTCCTCACGTTGCTGCTACTCATCTTCATTATCCGCAACCGCAACAACAATCCACGTGAGTCCCATAGACAAGCACTAACCTCCCAATGGCTTAAATGATAAACCGTCATTGAAATTGTCTCATTATGTCGCATTCATATTTTATGTTTCGTCCCCTAGGACTGCATGACTTGCTGTTTGGTTTGTGAGTATCTGCATTTGATCTATATTTAAAAAGACCAGAAATGAAGAATTTGCAGTTTGTAAAAATATTAACGGTGAATTCTGTGTACAGAAAAGCAATAAAACCAGTATTTTCTTTTGGTTTGTCCAGGCATCACAGTCAGTCGAGGGAAAATATCAACTTCCCGGAGGATGAAGTGGTGGCCGGGTCAGAGGGTGGGATAGAGGAGATTGGTGGATCAGCCAGTTCCGGTAAAACAAACACACATGAAATACACAATAATAGAAACCTAAACATGGACTTCACATGTCTAGATTATGAAACTAATGCTGACTTAATACATTTCACACTTTTTCTATGTAGTATACAGTTTCAGTTCATGAATGTGTCCCATGTCCAAGTGGATTTAGACCTAGCTTGGACTTTACAAACTCAAAAGTAGTAACACTGAGATGGATTCCTGAGCCAGTTAAACCAACCCTAACCATTAGATACAAAGTTTTGTTGTGTTCTTTTATACAATGACAATAAGAGTCTATCTATCTAGATCAGGCATGGTGCCAGCAATTCACAAAAAAGTAGGAAATAGGAATTTAAAAAATGTACTAGACAGGAAGTTTCATTGACAGTCCCAGCGCATGATAGTAACCATAGTACAAACAGTCCTTTGAAATGTCCTCGTACTTCTAGCCCTGAAGTAAAACCCTTCATCACAACTGTAGTTAGCTGTCGACTAACTGTTTTCAGCACTAACAGCCAAGATCTCACCTTTTTAAATGATATGGTTTGGTTTGAACTGAACAACAACTAAAATCCTCATGGATAGTTTACGTCTTGTAAGTCAACTTTTAAAGTTGGGAAATCAAGAATCCAGAAAAATCACATTCTTGCTAGATCTTTATGTGATAATGGGTTCAAGTTTTCTATTTAGGAAGGCAGTCCCTGTTATTTTATCAAAGTCATAGCAGACGTTTGCAGTGAGCCACACGGCAGTCTTGACCACATTAGCCTCCTTATCCAACTTAGTAACATGAACACACGTTTATTTTAATGAAGCTGAACGAAACAACTAAATCTGAATTATTTTTTACTTAAAAAAGCAATAAGTAAATGACTTAATAATTGCACATTAATGACTAATAATGAATTGACTTTTTTTTCTTACATAATGAATCTAGCTGCTATTCTGTTTCAGGTCCAACTATGGCTTTACCACGGGCGTCTTCCCCCCTCACCACCACACCGGTCCCTCCCCCTGGAGATGACAATGAGCCTGTTAATGTCACCATCACAGTCCAGGCTATCGGCTCATAGTCAGAGATCACAGAGTTTTTTAAATTTTTGATTTAACTTGGAAATGCTTTTGTAGACAGCTAAGACAGTTTGTTCAGTTTTGGCATCACTAGTATCCTGGGACTTACAGTGGATTTTAACTCATCTACACTGACAAATACAAGCTCTTTTTAAATGTTTGCTACAAAACTGTCGTTGCTATATTACATAGTCAAGTATTCTGCTCTCAAGTCCTCTCAGACACATTATGATCTTTATATTGTAAACTACAGTCCCATTATAATAAAGTAAAGTAAAACCGAACTCTGCAAGAGGCTGCAGTAACCGTGAGTTTGACAGTTTAGTAATTGTATTGGTACCACTGAAGATATCACAATCTAAAAATGTAGTGGTCAAGTTCATTAGATGCAAAGTATGGAAGAACAAATGTTTTTCTGTTTTTGCTTTTTAATAATTGTTTTATTCAAACATTTGCAGAACAAAATCAGTCTTCACAAATGCAGGAAAGGGACACACAAGGACACTTCTCTAACAATCCTCCTACTCTAACACTAAACTCAAACCTGATAACCAACCTCTTTAAAAAGCCCCGTCTGCCATACTGACATGTAACACTGAATCAGTTCTCACAGGGATAGAAGGACAAAAAAACAAAGATAACAGAAGAGTACATTTAATATCAGTAGATCATATCTAAAATATCATTAGAACTACATATATACAGGTTCTCTCTCTGGTGCCCAGAGCAGTGTACTTGCATTTCTCCAGGACTCTCATGTGATCTTCTGAGTGCTGATGATGTCACTGAGCTTGTGTTTTATTTTCACAAAGAGACGCTTGAACTCCAAACCGTCACCCTGGAAACACAGAAACATGTCACACGATGAGCTAACATTACTGTGACTCTATACTCATTAGCTTATCAGGTCCAGGTTCTGTTTTCTTTTTGTTTAGTCAAGTTGGATTTAATTTACTTTACTGTTGTTTACGTTCTGGCAAATAGAAATAAAAAATGACAAAATAAATAGTAGCAGTTAATGTAAACCTGTTATATTCACTTGTATCTTGAAATGGATTCTATTGTGAAATACTAAAACCCACCTTTGACAGTCTGAAGTCCAGCAGCACTCTCTGATTCATCTCCAGTAAATGGACTTTGAAGATAAGTTTGTTATTGCGTTTGTCCAACGTGCTCACCGTCACCTAAAAGGCAGATACTTATTCATTTAACTGAGATGTATTATTGTCCCAAGCAGCTAAATAAAAGCATGTCAATTAACCTGCTTCAGCTCAGATCCATTCATTAACACTAAACAGTAAAAAGACCAGTTAAATCACCTGAGACAAGATGGAGTTTTGTGAAGTTGGATACTGTATTTAAGAGTGTTTTTAACCTCAATAATCTTTTGACCTTGTATACTTCATAACAGATATACCTGTTTGGTGCAGGTGAGTTTGAAGCCCAATGCCAGGCCGTCACAGGCATCTTTCAGGTCAGATAAGGAGGCGTCGGCATTCACTGTGGTGAAGAAACGCGTCATTCTGCGGACTAATCTCTGCCATGGCGACTACACACACGAGGAAAGAAAAAGTTAGGACAAGATTAACACATCAATGAAGTATTTTACGGCTGGATGACATAAAATGTTAGTTTCTGTTTTGTAAATAAGAAGACAAAACAAAGAAACAATATGGCTGATCTGTAGCCTGTGTTGCAGGAAGTTCACACTCATTGTCAGATAGGAATAAAACTCAAGCACTAAGTGTGGGAATTACCTGACTGGCTCCAGGCGTGCCCAGCAGCTGACTACCAAGTAACATGTGCTCCGGCTTGGTAGGCTGAGAGAAGCTAACTTGACCTTCTGTTTGACTGATTACCATCATGGCCTCCCAGCCAACTCCCGCAAAATCAGGCTGAGAGCTGGAAAACTGCATCCTGTCATCACTATGGAGGGGAGGAGTGTACTTTAGAGATTACAGGCACTTAAAGAAATGTCACTTTGAGTGGAATTAACAAAGAGACACATTTCTGACCTGTTGGTCCGGGATATGAGTCCCCCATCTGATCGAAGATGTTTGCTTCCTAAGCCAAGAGGTGGTTGCTTCACACCTGCAGAGACACACATGCAGAAAATCAGTCAAGGGAACGATTAAGTTCAAGATGAGTTCTTTGTATCGTACTGATTTTGAGACATGCCTTGTGTAAACCAGCGGTCTTTTTTTATGTCTGCGATGGTGATGCGTGCATCCGGACAGGCCAGCAGTAACTTTGACAACAAACCTGAAAAGAGTTGGACGTGAATTTAAAAAAAAAAACACCACAGACCTCTTTGGGCCAACTTTCTGTTCTTTATAATTAAGGGCTCACTAAGAGGCATTGGTTGTATTTTCTTCCAAGGAGGTAAGTATGTTTTCTTCTGAAGCCAGTCTGAATACTCCTGACAGCTCTCGGAGGGCTGGTCCCATGGCAGCTCTGAGAAAGACGCAACAGAAACTGAACATGAATACATTCTTTGATTGATTATTCATGGATCTATTTTTTTTTTTATTGCGTCATAAACAATATGCACAAACAGGCGTACAAGACACAATCATTAACACAAAGAGACAAGAAAACCAAAGGTAGACACATCAATTACAATAATACTAAAAAAAAAAAAAAAAACACATCCCGATGTTTCTTACGGGCTTTAGAAGACAAAGGTAGCCAGATTATGATCATTCATATAAAACAACCATTCAATCATGTCCTCAGCAGCGCACCCAAACGTTTCAGGATTTTCAACACATTTTTCATCTAATATTCTTATTAGAGGTTCTTAGCTCAGTCAAAAAGCTAGAGTGCTGCATGGGTGTTAAAAAATGTTTTGAAAATGATTGAAAAGAATGTGTCCTTCTGGTGCTCTTCAATGTGGGGATCCAGCTTAGAACCTTTTGAAGAGGTCTGAGGCACTCACAGATTCATAAAGTCAACATGTTTAAGCCATGCTGACCTTCATGAGGGCAGGATGATCACTTGCCCCGACTTACCTCCAGCCAGCATCGCAGTGAGAACTATCCCACAGGCCCAAATATCCGCAGGCTGAGCCCTGTACTCTGACTGGCTGAGAAGCTCAGGAGCCACATAAGGAAGCGTCCCACAAAGTCGATTGAGGCGACGCTCCCGTCCTTTGAAGCGAAACATGGTGGCCAGGCCAAAATCTGTCAGCTTCAGGATATCTAATACGGTAAAGGAGAACAGCAAACGATTAAGAGAGAACATGCAAACCTACGGTGGCTGATAAGTGCAAAGCAAAATTACAAATGTGAGACAAATTTACATTTTGAAAAACCTTTTTACATTTTTATAAAACAAAATTACAAAACCAAAACACTTATACTAAGGAAAAAACACATTTACATTTTATAAAACAAATTTACAAGATGTGAAACACTTTTAGAATCCCCAAACAAATTTACAAACGACAGAATCTTGACAAAATGGGAATGTATAAAATGTCGGAAGTGACCCGGAAGTGATCGACTGAGGGGTCATTTTGTTAGTTTTGTCGCGGTACATTCCCTTTCCATCAAGATTCTGTCGTTTGTAAATTTGTTTGGGGACAGATAAAAGTGTTCTGCCTCTTGTAAATTTGTCTCAGCGACTGTAAAAGTGTTTCACATCTTGTAAATTTGTTTTGTCCTTGGTAAGTGTTATTGGTTTTGTAATTTTGTTTCATAAAATGTAAAAATGTTTTTCAAAATCTAAATTTGTCTCACATTTTGTAAAAGTGTTTAACACTTTGTAATTTTGCTTTGTACTTCCCAGCCACCGTACAAACCAGAGCTAATCCTTTGACACCTCCATACACATTGAACTTAGTCACCTTTGTCATCCAGCAAAATGTTCTCTGGTTTTATGTCTCTATGTGTAATGCCAGTACTGTGGAGGTATTCCTACAAAAAAAGGAGACACAGAATTATTTCACAGCAGAAGAAAACAGGTGAATGAAGTAAAATCAACACAGAAAGCTCCTTCACTCACCACAGCGGCTATGAGCTGCTGGAAAAATCTATGAGCATCTTTTTCTGCCATCCCAACATCAGGCTCTGAAATAATCCAACATTTGAATAACTTCAATGATTAGATCGATAAGATAGACAGATGCACTTGATTGATCCCAAACCGGAAAATTGTGGAAACATAGACAGTTGTTATCAGGTGTTTTTAGGGGAGGTGTCTGTTATTTCTAATTAAAGTAAATTGTGTCCATTTTGAATATAAAACTGCTTGTGAGTTCTTTAGTGTGCTGTCCTGTTCTATACATTTGTGTTGTGTTTTTGTGAGTACCCGCTTTAGGACTACGGATTACGTTTACTTTTTTGTGCTAATTAACATAGATGCATATTGACATAGATCCGTATTGCTGATACGCTGATTATTGTGTGCTTTCCTAATTCAATAAATAAAAAGCAACAACAGACTTGAGGTGACCTTTCATTAATTCAGTAAAGTCATTTCCAAAAAAATAGGTAGTTTAAAGTTGAAGCTTGTGTCAAAAGATTTCCTTTGTTGACAGTGTTTGCAATCTTGTCTAATTCCATATTATAAAATGATTAACGGCTAACGGCTGATTTAACGGTTGTTTTTAAGTTGCAGTAAAGAAAATTTGAAAAAGTGTTGTTCCATCTCAACTAAACTCTTTTCATGATGCTTATTTTTTACAAATCTAAAATTAGAATTGCAGCCTGAACGCTGTCACGTTTAAGGGGTGACTCCAATCAAATCTTACAGATGAAAGAATTATTGGTCACAACAACCCGAAGACATGTGTCTCACCAATTCGGTCAAACAGTTCCCCTCCGGTGCAGTACTCCAGGAAGAGGTACATAGTGGGACCTTCTTTCCGATGGCCAAAAAATCGTACGATGTTGGCGTGGTTAAGCATCTACAAGCAGTGGCAAACGTTATAATTTTATTTTACATCTTTAATCACACAGAATTCAGAATAGTGGTTCCAGTAACACAGTACACACACACA